TGTAGCTATTTCCTACCAGGGTAGGCTCAAAGACCCACTGACTTAACAGTCGAATCTCATGTCTATAGCTTCATCCAAACTTTTATCGTCACGTGTACTGGCAGCTAAAAACGTCGTTACTGGGGACCCTGTGACGTTAATTACACTGGTGCTGGTACTAGCGTTACGCACAGCGATGCTAGTCACGTTAATGCCCAAAGTGAGCCTGGTCTGCTCCAAGGCCTTTTCTGGCACAGCAAACGCCTCCAGCTTCTTCTCCCCGTTGGCCATATAGGAGTTTTGGCAGCCACGACATATGCAATCTAAGCAGGCTTTGCGGTTAGAGTAGCAAGGGCAGCGTTGGCCTCGGCATGTAAGAACACTTGGATTTTGAGTAGCACGCCCACATTTACACCCTTTTTTTTCCTGGGGTTTTTTGTACACAGTCTTGGTAGGACTTCCTGGCATAAAATGATGACTAGGAATCTTCTCCTTGACTGCTTTGTCTTTTTTTAGAATACCTGGCTTGGTTTTAGAGTGAGATTTCTTGGATCCATGTTCATGACTCTTCTTCATGCTTTTAGTAGATAAAAGCACAGTTTTGCTGATCTTGGGTGTTGCGCCTCCATTGGGAACAGTCGCTATAGGCTGCAGAGAAATTTTGCTCTCCCTTTTCACGGTCACAGGAGCAGAAGCTCCCAGTGTCGGGCCTCGGATAATGGTAGAAATGGGAAGTGGCTGAACTTTCTCGCTGTCACTTTCTGATCTGGATCGCTTTCTATTCAATTTTGCTACCTTCGGAGTTGCTGCTGTACATGATAACCCATGAAGTGCAGGACTGGTGGACATAAAAACATTATGGCTAAGAGACTGGGACGAAAGCTGCAGAAAAGGGCCATTAGATACAGTGGCTTCCAAGTTCGGCTGCAAATTAGGGCAACAAACCTCTGTATTTGAAACAGTTTCCAAACTGCGGAGCACTTCCTCAACACTCAGTAACAGCGAGTCGCCCGGTTTTATATCTTCACTGAAACTGCAGATATCAATGCCTGTGGAGCACAAGTCAGTGGCGACCGTGTCACACACGGGTGGCAGACTGTCCGACAGATCCTCAGTTTTTATGTCAACAGTGTTGCACACATCAGTCGTGTCTGAATGTTCAGGCGAAGGAAGATTTATGCCCAACCTGTCTATCGAGAGCCCGTTGTAAGGAGGCAAGCCATTGATGACAGAACTGCCGATGGCAATGCTGAGGGTGCTCTCAGACATCGGAGACAAACCAGCCTGAGGATCAGTCGTGGGCTCTGAGGTCGAAGGCAAAGGGGAATGTGTCAAACACAAAGTGAAGGAGGAGTCGGAGGGCTTTTCTGTCTCCTCACCAAAGAACGACCCGTCGTTAAGCAAAGCCAAAATATCGGAAGAGCAGTCGACCGCTTCTATGATGTCCCGGGCCAGTGCAGTCTGCGTTATATATTCACACAGTTTTTTGTAGCAGTTCACCAGGATGCTCAACTGCTTGTTCTCCTCAAACTGCTCATAGTCTTTGCACCAGCTGCACGAGGGCTTCATCATCATCCTCTTGCCTTTACACGGTTTGCAGACATAGTGCTGGCAGGTGGAGTTGGTGGGTGCGATGGGATCCTGCAGTAAGTGTCCTAAGGGGGGAGAGGAGAGCCAAGAGTTTAGTAAAACGCCGTGCAGTCTCATGTGCTGGAGTGAACGCGACACCGTAAGTCGTCTACCTCACTCGAGATGGGCTGAACTCCCCAAGCCAGGTAACAAAAAGTGTCTCACAAGAAATGGGAAAAAAACTCAACAGCTCCCTGCATATCCCTGCCCTATTCCCCATTCCTTTATCTCAAACCAGAACCTGCTTTGATTCTGTGTCTCTCCCCCAAGCACTATGTTCTGGTCCACCTTCTCATCCTCTGCTCCAAAGGCTATAAAGTTAAAGAGGTGAAGATCAGTCGCCAAAAGCACCAACGAGGCTTAAAACCCTTGGGACCTCGACCTAATCATAATGTCACGGCATACTGAGCAAAATCACACTGGTTGTTTATTTCGTGCTGGACACCGAGACACAGACATAAGGGAGACTTAGTCCCTGCCGTCATAAAAAGAGTCTTGAGGGTGTTAATCAGTACAAAGGCATCTTCGCAGAAAAAAATAAAATTTCAGTTTTCACTGTATATATACGGATCATAAATTTTGAGGGCAAAAGATCAAAATACAGATCCAATGGAAGAGAACTATGTTCAAGATAAAAGAGAGTACTACTGAACCAAGTTCTTCTCCAAAAAAAAGACTAAGTACAAAATGATCTTGCTTAAACTTCAATGAAAAAAAGCTCAAGTTCTTCAGACAGAATTCACAACAACCAGGGCTTACAAACCACACAGATGCCCCAACCCTCGCTGCAGCAGCAGAACGAAGCGGTCCCTTGCCTTCACACGACTCCCAGTTATACACGGCCTGTACACAGGAATCCGGAGGGGAAAGGAACTAGACCCCAAGCACCACCGAATCCCAAAGCAGCAGCTACTCCTTGGCTCCTAATTCAGAGAAAAGGTGAGTAACGAAGCCAAAGCAGGACTCTTCATAAATCATACAAAAAAGTTCGACCACAACAGAAACTAGAAATCAACAGGAGAAAGAAAAATCAAGAGAATCCCCAATCATGTGGAAATTAAACATCCTAAGGGAAATTTGAAAACACTTATTGAATGAAAATGAAAACACAACATATCAAAATTTAGGGGATGCCTCTAAAGCAGTGTTGAGAGAGAAATTTAAAGCCTTAAAAGCGTTTAACAGGCCAGGGGCAGTGGCTTATGCCTATAATCCCAGCACTCTGGGAGGCTGAGGTGAGAGGATTGCCTGAGCCCACAGGTTCCAGACTAGGCTGGGCAATTCGGCGAGACCTCATCTCTACAATAAATCAAAAAATTAGCTAGGCGTGGTGGCATGTGCCTGTAGTTCCAGCTACTTGAAAGGCTGAGGCGGAAGAATCACCTGAGTCCAGCAGGTGAAGCTGTGGTGGCCGTGAGTGTGCCACTGCAATCCAGCCTGAGCAACAGAGTGAGACTCTCTGGGCCAAATTAACTAATTATTTAAAAGTCTATAACAGAAAATAAGGTCTTGAGCCAGGTCTGATGGTACCCACCTTTAGTACCACCTATTCTACCGGCAGACACGGAAGCATCACTTGAGCCCAGAAGTTCAAGTTCAGCCTGGGCAACATGGCAAGACCCCATCTCTAAAATAATAAATTTTAATTTTAAAAATAAAAGGCTTCGGCCGGGCTCGGTGGCTCAGCCTGTAATCCCAGCACTTTGGGAGGCTGAGGTGAGTGGATTGCCTGAGCCCGCGGGTTCAAGACCCGCCTGGGCAACTTGACAAAACCTCATCTCTACAACAAATCAAAAAATTGGCCGGGCGTGTTAGCGCGTGCCTGTAGTTCCAGCTACTTGGAAGGCTGAGGTGGAAGGATCGCCGGAGCCCAGCAGGTCGAGGCTGCGGTGGCCAGAAGTGGCCACTGCACTCCAGTCTGGGCGACAGAGTGAGACTCCAACTCAAAAAAAATAAAATAAAATAAAAGGCTTCAAGTCAGTAATGTAAGCTTTCTTTCACCTCAGTAGGAATCCCAAATGAAGCAGGATAAAGGAAGTAAGATTAGACCAGAAAATCAATAAAAGAGAAAAAAAAGAAATCAATAAAACCGAAAGTTGGTTATTTAAAAATATCAACAACTTTGACAAAGCAGAGCTATAATTACACCAAGAAAAAAAAAAAAAGAGGCCGGGCTCGGTGGCTTAGCCTGTAATCCCAGCACTTTGAGAGGCCGAGGCAAGAGGATTGCCTGAGCCCGTGGGTTCGAGACCAGCCCAGGCAACTTGGTGAGCCCTCGTCTCTATAATAAATTTAAAAAACTAGCTGGGCGTGGTAGCGCGCGCCTGTAGTTCCAGCTACTTGGAAGGCTGAGGCGGAAGGATCGCCGGAGCCCAGCAGGTCGAGGCTGCGGTGGTCAGGAGCGGCCACTGCACTCCAGTCTGGGCGACAGAGTGAGACTCTGACTCAAAAATAAATAAATAAATAAAAGGGGAAAAAAAAAAAAAAGACAAATTACCAAAAGCAAGAATGAAAGAGATCAGAGTATTACTAATACCCCCTACAGAAGCGTAAAGTATTAGGAAGTACTATGAACAACTTTATGCCAACAAATTAGGCTACTAAGATGAAAAGGACAAATTTCTATAAAGACACAAATGACCAAGACTGACAAGAAAAACTGTAAAATCTCATATCTATAACAGGAAACTGAAATGGTTTGACTGAAGACTGTCCTCAAAACAACTAATTGCCTTCACTGATATATTCTAATAAATAATTTTAAAATATCCAAAAATAGAGGAGAAAACACTTCCCAACTCTTTCTTTAGAGGCCAGTAACTGCCCTGATACTAAAGCCAGACACAAGAAAATAGATGAAAATCTCTAATGAACATAAACGTAACAAAATCCATAACAAACATTCAAAAGAATCCAGCAACATATAATCTAATACCAACTCACAATGGTGTAAAGAAAAAAAAGATTAAACTAGAAAAAGAATTCTCTAACCTGATGGTGGGGATTTTTTTTTTTTTAAATCTACAGTCAACATCACACTTAAAGGTAAAATAATTCAATGTTTTTCCTTCAAAGATCAGGAATAAAGAAAAGATACTTGCTTTTGCCACTACTTTTCTTTCTTTCTTTCTTTTTTTGAGGCAGAGCTTCACTCTGTTGCCCAGGCTGGAGTGCAGTGGCATGCTCACGGCCACCCCAGCGTCAACCTGCCGGGCTCAAGCGATCCTTCCGCCTCAGTCTTCCAAGTGGCTGGAACTACAGGCACGCCCTACCATGCCCGGCTAATTTTTGATTTATTGTAAGGACGAGGTCTCACCAAGTTGTCCAGGTAGGTCCAAAACCCCTGGACTTAAGCGATCCTCTCGCCTTGGCCTCCCAAAATGCTGGGATTATAGGCTTGAGTCACCGCACCTGGCCTGCCACTACTTTTCAAATTGTATTTGATGTTCTAGCTAATGCAGTAAAGTTAAAAAAAAAACAAAAAAACTTAAAGGCACCAGAATGAAAAGGATGAGGTAAAACTGTTTTAGTAACAGATTATACAATCCTGTATATAGAAAATCACAAAAAACAACATCAAAAAATTACCAGACCAATAAGCAATTTTAATAAGGTCACAGCACAAACTTAATATATACAAAACTCAACTGCGTGTTGTATTTCTAGATACTAGCAATGAACACTTAGACATTAGTCATTTTTTAAAATTCCATTTACAATAGCATCAAGAAAAATATATTTAAACACTCAGAAAAAATTTAGCAAAGTACAAGGTTTCTACACACCCAGAATTACAAAACAGGGCTCATAGAAATTAAAGTAAATCTAAATAAAGACAGTTTATGTTTATGAACTGGAAGACTCTCAATATTGTCAAGATAGCAATTTTTCTCCAAACTGATTTATAAGTTCAGTACAATCCTTAGAATCTCAGGTTACTTTTTTTTTTTTTTAAGAAATTGACAGACTGATTCTAAAATTCATATGGAATCAGAGGATAGCCAAAACAATTCTGAAAAACAAAGAAAGAAGACTTATAGCATCAAATTCCAAATCTTACTATAAAGCTCAAGTAATCAAGACAGTATGGTTATGGCAAAATTACAGACATGTAGACCAATGAAACAGAACTCAGAGTCCAGAAATTCTTTCACCAATAATGTGAGAGAAGAGTGCCCAGGTAATTCAGTGGGGGAAAGGACAGTATTGTCAACACATCATGTGGGTCAATTTTTTTAAACAAATGCAAAAAAAAAAAAAAAATCATACAAACTTATACTCTATCACAACATACACAAAAATCAACTCAGAAGTATCACAGGCCGAAACGTATATGCTAAAACCTAAAATTTTAGAAGAGGCCAGGTGCGATGGCTCAAGCCTGTAATCCCAGCACTTTGGTAGGTTGAGGCGAGAGGATTGCCTGAGCTCAGGGGTTCAAGACTACTAGCCTGGGGAACGTGGTGAGACCTCTCATCTCTACAATAAAGCAAAAACTAGCCAGGCATGGTAGCACAGGCCTATAGTTCCAGGTACTTGGAAGGCTGAGTCGCAAGGATTGCCTGAGCCTAGCAGGTCGAGGCTACGATGGCTGTGAGCACACCACTGTACTCCAGTCTGGGTGACGGAGGAAGACTTCGACTCAAAAAAAAAAAAAGTTGGCTACCTATTGAGAGGCAGAGAGAGAACAAGGTGAAATGAACAGAGATAGGAAAAGATTAAGTTTAACGTGTTTTATAGGATTTTACTTTCAAATCATGTAAACATTTCATGTAACAAACCAAAATTTTAAATCTCTAAAAAGTAAAACGAAACAAGTAACCATAATTTTATATCAAACTGGCATATAACCATTCAGTTATTTCAAATGACTTTATAACAAAAAACTGACTCTTAACCCTCAGATCCTTGTTTTTCTTGTTTTCAGCAGTCACATTTGTTGGTGGTGATGTCGAATGTCAACAGTAGTTATAAAAGTGTTGGTGTGTACTGTGGGATAAAATAAATGTTGATGTCCTTGAG